ATTTTATGATTATTGAAATGTATACAGTTCTGTTTAATATAGGTGTTTCCATAGATCTAGTCTCTTTATTTTCCCCTCAAAATGCACCAGATTGATGCATTTAACTCCAAAATAAAAAATAAAATCTTACCGAGGGGGCATGCCCCTGGACCCCCCTAGAGGATTTGAGGTCGACCCCCACTAAAAATCGCATGGATAGGTTCCTAAATACATTGATAAATACATTTATTTTTTTAAATAGTAACCCATTTCCATATGTTCATGTGTGGGTAGTAGATTTACACTATAGGGCTATCACTATGGGCCCTGCCTGTACCTGTTCGCTCTGCCATCGCGTGAAGGGTCTGCTAACAAGCGACCAACAGAAAGGTTAATGTTAATGTTGTTGCACGTCACCTCAACCTCCCCCCCGCCCGCTACCACCACCCCCCCAAGTATATTTCAGATCTGTGGGAAACACTGGCAGTTAATGGACCAGCACCAGAGGCGTTCCCATACACACAGGCGTTGGAGCTGTTCTTCATGAAATCCCAGAAGGATGAAGTGCTCTGACAAACAGCGCCATCTTTGCACAAAATGATTATACCGGAATGAAAAGTCAATAAATAAACATGTTTTTTTGTTTTGTTTTTTTTTTCTCTCCGCGCACCCCCCGATTAAAACATTCTGTCAAATTGCCTTACTTAGCATATGGGTATTGAGTTATTAGGTCAGTGACCATAGATCAGCAAAGTGATTATTTGAACCAATTTGAGGGAAATCCCTCTAGAATGTCATTAGAGAAAGCATTCATTATAATGGGACGGATAGACAGCCCAGACACTTTTCCTTTAATCAAACCTTGGGTATCGAATGGAAGTAAATAAACTGAATTTGCTTACAGGAAATGGTTGTTCTTTGATATACAAATACTAAATATGTTAAATGCCGGCAACTATGAGTTAAACAGTTTCACAAAAATACTGCAAACCCTATCAGCTGAAACCGAATGTAAAAACCTTCAGACGAACAGCACGGAAAGAGAGCAGCGGGAGGGAGCAGACAGAGAGAGGAAGATTCCTGTGCAAGGCATGTGGACATGAAACAGGGAGAAAAAGAAGCAGGTGTAGAGACTGGAAAGGAAAAGAGGAAGAATTGGGAAGGAAGAGTGATAGAGCAGCATGAGGGCAGAGATCAAGGCAAGAGAAAGAAAGTGGGAAGGAAAAGAAATGGAGACGTGTGTGTTTGGAGGATAACGGAGGAGGAAAGAAGCTGACAACTGGAAGAGAAGGAAGAAGAGGACAGAGTTAGATTCAGAAACAGCAGGGGGGGCAACCAGATGTTTGGTGAGGGCAGATGTAGATGTTTCTGGAGGAAGAACATATGAGTGACTTAATATAATGTCTTTATATCCACTCCTAGTTTCTAACGTATCCCCTCTTAGTTTCTCTGTCTGAATGTAGAGGCACTCTCTCTCTGTCTTACAGCCCGTCCACACTACAGCTTCGACAGCTTCAAAAACGGTTTCCAACGCGTCTGCCCATTCACTTTGAATGGGGTGACGTCACTTTTCGCCGAACTGCATTGTGGGAAGCAGAGCGGAGCTTTCCTGGCGTTTCAGGCTGCAAAAGTTGAGCAATGTTCAACTTTTGAAGCTTCTGAAGCTTTCGGTGGAAGTGTCAGCCAATCAAATCATATGCCAGTACAAGCTCTAGTCAATCAAACCGCTGCTTGTGTGTCAGGGGCGGGAGATTCATGTGATTGGTTGTTGGTCGAGTGTCAGACACGCCGAGCTCCAAGCTTTTTTTGAAGCTGTAGTGTGGACGGGCCGTTACAGCCGGCTGTTGTAGCAGGAAGATCGAATACCTTTTGCATAATCATGTTGCTTCGTTAATATTTAACTTGGGCAATTTACTTTATTTTTAAGTAGCTTAAAGTTGTCTTATTTTACAGTTGTCTTATTTGACAGTATTACTATTGCTATACAGTGAAGATATACAGTGTTTTTCTTTGACATGTACATTTTCTACTCAGTCTGACAGCATGCATTTTGGGAGGTCCTCTTTAATTAATGAAAACATGTGAGTTATTAGCAAAGTAATGTAGTACCTGATGGGTTTCAGACAACACAGGTGGGTGTAAGGAAAGATAAGAAAAGGCAGAAGAAGAAGAAAAAAGAGTCAGGTAGAGAGAAGCGAGTGAGGATTGGGAAGAAGGGGAAAATGGAAATAGTATTGTGCACAGATTGACATCTTTAACAGCCAAAGCAGGAAAGCCAAAACAGGCAAAAATGTACCGAATGAAGAATCGAAAAAGAGCACAAGAAACAGCATGACAAGAGATTGTTGTGTCATTAAGGAGGAGAGTAAAACAGGGAAGGTATACAATACTTTTCCGCCATCTGTACATTCATTTAATCACTGCCTTCTCTCCTGTCCGGTTTCTCTCCTCTTAGATTTCCCTCCTTTTCTCTCCTCTTTCAGAATTGAAGTATTAGTATACAGTAAGTATAATGTATTTATGCTGTATTTAATGTATTTATGCTGTATTTGTTCTTAAATGTCTTTTGCTTTTAATCTGTAAAGCACTTTGAATCGCCACTTGCTGAAAAGTGCTAAATAGAATTGCCTTGCCTTGACAGCAACGCCCCTACTCACACTCAAACGACATATTTTGATGTCAAACATTCATTCAAATGCTCTTATGAGGAGGATAATTGGTATTTCCACATGCCATAAACCACAGGATCCAAACGGCAACCTCTCGGTCTCAAAACCAAGCCTCCAACCTGCACATCACATTTCCTTCTGACAACCTTCACTCTCTGGGGTGTGTGAGCAAAACACCGTGGCTCAGTCCCAGGTTTCCCATCATGCTGCACTGAGCACCAAATTAACCAGAAAGACAACATAACCTTGTTTTCGGCAAGTGGATAAAACAAGAACTGGCTTCTAATTGTGTCATTTCAGCCCATAGAGGATAAACACACACAGCTGAGACCTTCTAAATGCCAATGTGAATCACAAGCCTTCTGTGTCCTAAAATGCAAAGCTTTCCCTCAGGAAGCAGGTGTTTAAAATAGTAAAATAAACTTAACAAGGAAACGACATTGAATCAAACTAAAACAAAAGACTCAGTCGACACGTTCTACTTTAACGTTTCTGGAAGAATAACGATCTTGTTCGTTGTTAAAACGATGCGCATAAATTGAATCATTATTCACATCAAACCGTATGTCTCCTCAACAACTCACGCGCAGTAACCCCCCCTTGAAAAACAGAAAAACTCTGCACTTTTTCCCAGACTGATAGACCGGGCAAATGAGACTTATTAATGAAATATAATTGCATTCAAAACATAGAAGCATTATATTTCTTCAAGGCGGTATCACACAGACATGAAGCCCCAGTTCAGAGCCTCCCCTCCGGGTCCGCGCTGCCCGGACTCGCTCCCTCTCCCCTGGGGAAAGTAGAAAGCGCGCAGCCTGCTCACCTGCTCCGTGTGTCCCGGACGAGCTGCAGAGGAGCAGGGCGACCTGAGCGATAATCCCAGCGACTCTTGTAGTCCAAAAATCCATGATGAGGCGACGGGAGGCTGCAGAAAAACTGCTGGAGGAGAGAGACGGTCGACCTCTCCTCTACAGCTCCAAGAGAGATCTCCCCAAAACCCGGCTGAAGGGCCAGAGAGAGGAGGGGGAGAGAGAGAGAGAGAAAGAGTCAAGAGAGAAAGGTGGTTTTACTATGTGTTCACAGCTCCAACTTCACTGCACCTCCTCCTCCCCTTGTCGAATAAAAGCAGTTTCCAAGAAAACCCTCCGCAATGCCAATTCTCCAGTTCTCCATCTTCCACTGCGTGTGCTGCTGACAAATAAGGAGCTATTGGTCACCATGTAACCAGCCTAAAGGGCGATACATCCCGCCAGACAGGCTTCTGGCGCCAACACAATTAAGTTAGCTAGCACACTGTTTTTCAACCTTTTGAGCCATGGTAAACGTTTTACATAAAACAAATCTCGAGGTTAACAACCAACAAAGTTACTAAATGACACATTGAAGCCTAATACTGCATTATAGATCAATTAATGACAAGTCTCTCAATTGGGCTGTGGGATGAGCTCCAAAGTAGCTATAGCTTTGAGAGCTATATTTCCTTGTTTCTTAGTTTGTTTACACATGCAAACAAAAAAGTCCCTGTCCTTGTTTTGAGTGTTTCTTGTGATTACAAGATTGATTGGCAAATAATATATATTTTTGGACCGTTTAAGTCACTGAGCTAGCCAACACCTTGCCTACTTATAACTTAACTTGTACTTTTTATTATCTGTGTATTTCATTTACCTTTAACCAAGGAGCTGAACAAATAGTTTTAGGCTTATTGTAGGATGACTTTACCCACTAACAAATATGAGGAATGGATATACATTACGTTTGAACATAAAGTCCTCCATAATATGAATGACTATTTAGCTAGTTTAACTTTAATTCTAGCGCTAGCTAGGCTAATATATCGGCTAGCTTAGCTAATGCTAGTGACTTTGGCAATGTGAAAATCGATTGAATGTATTTTTATTCTGTCCAATCAAAGGCAATCAACTCTGTAAACAGGAGGTGACTTTAACATCACTCAGAAACATTACAGTTTCAGAGGCAAAAAAACAGTGGTTGTTCAATTGAATCCAGGAAGTCACCGCACTATAGGCCAACAAATAGCTAAGCCTAGATAAGAAAAGCTAAGAGGCTCCTGGCAGCAGTGTTGGGACTAACACGTTACACAGTAACGCGTTACTGTGGCGCCGTTACTGTTGGCAGTAACCAGTACTTTAACGCGTTATTTTTTAAATTCAGTTACCGTTACTACATGATGCGTTACTCCGTTAGTTTTTTTATATAGTCAACAGCCAGGCGAACAGAGATGAGAACTGTACTTAAGTACAGTACTTGAGTAAATGTACTTAAATACTTCCTGTGTCACATGCGGGACGCGCTGTGGGCGTGTTTGTGTTTAGTTAGCCTACCAACAATACTATCATGGCGACGGCGGAGCACAAGTCGAGTTTCTCCGCATGGAGATATGCTCACTATTTTACTTTTCTCGAGCATAAAGACAATAACGTGGTAGTTAAGTGTAAGTTGTGTCTTGGCGGGTCAAAGATCCTATCTACTGCCCAAAACAGCAATTCCAATCTGTTAAAACATCTGCAGAAACAACATGCTGGGACGAAGCTAGTAGCTAAGACCACAGACCCAGAGCCATCCGACGGCGACGCCTCTCCACCTCCACCCAAGCAACAGCGGTTGGATTTCAACCGAGGGACTGCTAGCCAGGGAAAAGTGGATAAAGCCATTGCACGGTATGTTGTTGAACACGTGCAGGCTATTTCTACAGTGGAGTCACCCGCTTTCAGGGAGCTAGTTAGCATGATAGCATGTCCGGGCGGCACACGGCATATGGGACGCAAAACGTTTTCCAACTACCTGGAGAAAGAATATACCAAAATGGAAAGCGAGCTAAAGAAAACATTTGAGGGGCTGGAATACATCTCGACCACCGCAGACATTTGGTCTGTCCACAACTTCCTCGGGATAACATCTCACTGGATAAACCCCACCACTTTACAACGCCAGAAAGCTGCGTTGGCCTGTAAAAGGATAACGGGTAGGCACACGTACGATGTTATTGCTAGTGAGATTGACCACATTCACTCTTTGTATGGAGTGTCAACAAAAGTTACCTCCACGGTTACTGATAACGGCTCTAACTTTGTGAAAGCCTTTGCCATGTATCAACCGGAATCGCTCTCTGATGATGAAGAAGAGGTTATCTTCACTGACGTTGCAGACGTGCTTAACACCGCCGCAGAGGAAGGGATTGTTTTACCTCCGCACCAAAGATGTGCATCTCACACACTAAATTTAATTTAATGCAATGCGCTGACGTGCTGAAGTGGCTCCTTTCAAATCCTGGGACTAAAGGAATCTACAGAAGCTCTACAGCTAAGTGCACAGCACTGTGGAATAAGGCAAGCAGGTCCAGTGGCCTCAGAGATAGTGAGCGACGTGTTCACCAAAAAGCTGCTTGTGCCATGCACTACAAGATGGAATTCATTTTATGATGCTGTGGCAAGAATTGTTGAAATGCCTATGATTGACTTGAGTGCCATCTCTGATCCTTTGCAGCTAAAATCTATTAGCGACAGGGAACTTCATTTTCTGAAGGAATATTGTGCCATAATGAAGCCACTCACAGTTGCTCTGGACATCCTGCAAGGAGAGGACAACTGTTACTTTGGCACCCTCCTGCCCACTCTAGAAACATTAATGTCAAAGACCCTGGAGATGAAAGACAGTCTGACTGTAGCAACTGGCCTACCTGAAGCCATAGTTCAGGTAAGAAACATTCATCAACACTTTTGTAATTATCTGGTTTTCCCTCTTCACTGTAGAGAAAGACTGCATGTAATCAGTGGACACCACTCATTTTTATTACAGCACACGTGATATAATTGTTAACTATAGAATAGATGTCATTCATATTGTTAGCTGAGAGAGAGCACTAATATAGCCAAAGAAAATGGATGAAATGTGCAAAAAGTAGTTTTCAATGCATTCTATTTAAGGGACACAATAAGTCTTGAACATATTGATAAACTGACTGAAATGTATAAACTCGACTCTAGGGTGCAACAGAAATAAATAGTATTGCTTTTTTTTGGCTAAATAAAGTTTTAGTTTAAATGATTTAATAACTCATAACTATAGTTCAAAATCACCTGGTGGTGTGCAGCTTTCATGGAAATGTACACAAATAAAATGAATAAATAAAAGGGAATCTCACTTATTCTAATGTCTGTGTCACTGTGTGTATGTTTTACAGGCTATCAAAAAACGATTTGCATCCGTCTTGGAAAGCAACAATGCAATGCTGGCAGCCGTCACACTTCCCAAGTTTAAGTTACGGTGGGTGAGAGACCAGAGGAAGAAAGAGATGGTCAAGGGAATCCTGGCAGCAGAGTGTCACAAGTTTCTCCCTGGCCATGAGCAGCAACCAGCCAGGAATCCTGTGTCTCCGACAACGCCACCAGATTCAGGCTCCTCCAAAGACAAAGAGCAGGACTTTTTTTGCTTTGAGGATGACGATGAAACCTTCAGCACTGTGGAAACTGAGGTAATGGCCTACTTGAAAACAGCCGAAACAGGCATGGAGATTCTCAAAACATTTCCCACAATAAAGGCAATTTGTCTGAAGCTAAATGCAGCTACCCCATCCAGTGCACCAGTTGAGAGACTCTTCAGTCTGGGAAGTCTGGTACTGTCTCCAAAGAGGAACAGGCTGTCTGACCAAAGGTTTGAGAAGCTGCTTCTCATGAGGTACAACCACTGGTTCGAAAGCTAAACCTCCACTCAAACATTAATTCAGGTCTTTGCCAATAAGCACTTTTTGTTGTTTTGATTAACTAGGCCCACACTCGTCATCTGTGTGCGTGTGCCACAGTGACACAACAGCACTTTAATTTCTGTTATATATATTACAAAACACTTATTGTATGCTTGCTGGACTTCATACTTGAACTAAAGGAAAAACACTGACTTTTTGTATACTTATTTTGTTGGACTACAACAGCAGTTGCCTCTATATGGTGCTGAAAGCACTTTAATTTTTGCACTTTGATTCTGAACAATATATTCAGCTTACTCTCCATTAGTTTCAGAAAAGCCGGCATACAACTCTTATTTTATGGTATTGCTTGTAGATTTCATTTTTGAGGAGCTGATGTTTTTTGTTTTAATGCATTTATGGTTGTCTTGTCTGTACCAGCATTTGGTGTGAAAGTACATCATTTTTTCCAACTTGATTCTGAATAATATATTCAGATTGTATTTGATCTTGGGAATGTTAGTGTGTGTATTGTTGAGTGTGTTCAGATCCACCATAACAGGTATACAGCTATGTTGTGTTAATTATGGCAGACTAGACCTGTAGATTGCAGGCAACTAAAGTCGTCAGTTTGTTCTGGCCTGAAATAAATTGGCACATTGAAACATATCTTTGTGTTTGTGTTTGTATAGACCACATTGCTTAGCAGAGTTCAGTGATGCAAATGCATGTCAAGTTGATCAACAGATTGTATTATTCTCCAATGCAATAACAGTACTGAAATGAACGCTATAAGGGCATTACAACCTCTTAAGCCCCAAGCCTGTTTTTCAGGTTTCAGGCTCGAAAATGACATTCCCAGAACAAATGACCATATCTTCTAAAAGGGTTAAATTAATAATCTTTGATCTCAAAGTAATGATAAACCTGTGAGTTGGATGTAGAAGAGACAGAATCAATATAGATGTTTTTTATTTTAAAGAAAATTGTAAATTATAGTGTCCGTCCAAAAGACATGTTGTACTTATAGTGAAAACTAACCTTGGATGATGGGTTAGTAGACTAAAAGCTTTAGTAATCCAAAGTACAACATATAATAAGTACCCTGTATCAAGATTGATGCAAAACAAGTGATATTTGACCTTTTTAGACAGATATAGCAAAAGAAACCTCTTCTGGGGCCATTTGGGTGGATTTTCCATATCTCTGGCCCCCCTTGCTGGATTTTGACATGTGACATCTCTTTCTAACCGTCAGAGCCAATAGAATCGAAGGGAAATCGTCCCGCACACACTCATGTTAAAAAAAAGATGGCTTCTTCGCGCATTCAATGAAGCTTCAGAGCTTAGGAATGGCCTGCTCTACTCTTTTAAAACGGAATTGCAGTTTTATTGCTTATAGATTATCAGAACATTTCAAAGGGGACACAGCCACATTGGATATTAACCTATGGATTAACTACATCATCGTTGTTATCGTTTTAATGCCATTGAAGACCAGTTTTGACCAGACAAAACCAAGGTAAGCCATTTTAGCATTGTAGGCTACCTAGCGCCACTTGTTTTGATGTACGTTTTTGTTGATAACGTCGCGAGTTTGTATCTTTCAGTGTTGAGGTGGGCACCGTTAGATTATGTGTCTTTACGATCATAAACGATGTGTTGGATGTGCAGCTAGGATAAGTAATAAGGGAGCTAGGAGTGATTTTCGGTGCAGTAATAGGTTAGCATTTTTCGCTCGGGGCTAATTCAGAGGCTCACTGTTAGCATTGTGTGTATTTAAATGAAAAAGATCATTTAAATGAGTTTTTTCCCGTTATATGGATATAAAATATTTATTTATTAATATTTATTATTTTATTAAATATGAAGGTTACTTAGACGTTGTTTCCTGCTAATGACGCGATTTCGGCCCCGGAACCGGGTCCGTGGGGCCTAAGAGGTTAATGGGAGCTTTGTGTTTTTTTGGGAGCCCTTTTTTTTAAGTAACTAAAACGTTACCTTTCACAGTAAAGCGTTACTTTTTGGTGTAAGTAATCAGTAAAGTAACTGAGTTACTTTTGAAATGAAGTAACTTGTAATGGTAACTATTACTGGTTTTCAGTAACTAGCACAACACTGTCTGGCAGTAGGCTATAGCTTCATAGTTAGACTCTACAAACAAATAGGCTGCATCAACCTATACTCAGCCAACTCGCTGTGAAACGAAACAAGCATATTTGTTAGATGCCAAACTACACCATGAGCAGACTGCAGACCACGTTATGATGGGCCTTGTTGTTGAACATAACATTTGTCCATGTTCTAGAACTAATGATGTTATCCAGTTTGAATCTAAACACAAATAAATGCACTCAACAAGCAACATGGCTGCTGGCAGGTATTTCCCCTCAATTCATGACAAAAGAGCAGACAACAAGAACATCTGGACCTATTTGGATCTGAAAACAGAACAGCTGAACTCTCGGCCCATCAGCTTCACTAAAGCATTTTTTAATAAGGGTTGCAAAGATGGCACTGGTAAAACACACTCAACAGCTCTGCAGGATGACGCTAAAGCAGACTGGTGGGGTTCTCTGGCGGTGGCTGATTACCGACCTCTGGACGTCTTCAGCTCGTCAGCAGTGGATCCTGGTTCAACCTCGTGAAGCGAGGAAGATGACATGTGTGAGATCAACATCAGGCTGAAAGAAATTGAGTTACGCGACATGGTGGAAGAACCTCTTTGCATCCCGGAGAGTAAGTAGACAATGATAATAATTACCTGTGTTGCTATTAGACCGAATTAAAAGCCCTAGGGCCAGGGGAATCAATAGAGTTAACCGTTTTTTACGTGGGTCATTATCAGTATAACTATAATTCAGTCATGATCAATGGAATTAGAAAGCTTTACAGTCTTTTCGGCTAATTAAAGAGTACTTTTCAGGACGAATAACATGCATACAAGACAATAGATTTGAAAATAAGTAATGCTGTTGCTCAATACAGTATTTTTGAGCAATGTACACACATCATTTTTTTATTTTGTTTGTGTTTTACTTATGTACGTGTTGTTTAATGACAGTATATTAACCTTGTCTATCTTTCTCTCTAACAGCTACACATCAGAGGATCGTTGGTTGCAGAACAGCGGAGACCAAGAGTAAAAAGCCTGTGGGAAAGACAAGAACCCATTTTTAAGACATTGTGTTCACTTCTTGTTTAGATTTTAATGAATAAATCCTTGAAAACAGTATTTTATTCATCATTGAAATGTGGAGTTAGTGATACAAACATGTTCAACATAGTTGCTTTTATAATTGTAGGCTTTTGTGTTTTGTAAAGACCTGGAACTGAACACACAGTTACATGTATTTTAGATGTTCACTGACCATGAATAATTAAATGCTTTAATCAACCAAAATAAAAAGAGGCATATTTAGTCATATTTTATCTCTGCATCGTTCCAATCCTCCAAACTTGTGCCATCATCCTTAGTTATATTTGGGCGATTATAACAATAACATACTAAACTCATCACATGGAAGGAACAATAACCCAAAACAAAATACCCATTTACCTCAAGAGGAACTTGTTGGAGAAAATTATACTCTTGTGGAAATCCATGTTAAACTGAGAAGATGGTTTTGGGGAACATTTTGAGTCAATGCTTCTGCAATACTCATCTGGCATCCAGCATAAAAACAGACAATTATAATTATGTAAAAAAGATTATAATTGACAGTTGTTTATATTTAAAACTGAGCAATTACTGCTATCAGAAGAAAATAGTTTTTTTTAATTGTTAAAGCAGTTATTTTTCAAAATACCTCTGGGCATTTATTTATTATGTAAATGATGAATTAATAATACAATAGGAATTGTACTGTGTCTGATTGATTCACTGCTCTGAGCGAATTATTCTAGTCTCCTTCAGTATGTGCAGCAGAGGATGAAGTATTCAGCTTTCTTTACTTTCATTTAGAAAGTACGACGGGTCAGTCTTTTGGTTTCCAACAATCGTACCATAGGATCTCCTCAGTCAAATACTTTCTAAAACGGAAATAACATGTCCTTGTTCATTGGAGCACAATAAAAAGAGAGGGGATACAGTGGACATTTGTTCAAAAAAGTCAGAGATATTTAAGGAAATGTTTTTATGTTTGACCGGGGAAAGAGATAGCAAAAACTACTTGTTGGGGAATAATTTGCTTAGGTATTCAACCTTTGACACAGTTCATAATTTTCTCCTCTCACTGTCTCCTTTCCCATGGCACAGGTCTACGGCCTTGGGTATTGCTGCTATCTCTCTTAAGCACGGGCAGCTTGGGCGCATTGTTGTTGCCAGTCTGTGACAGAGCACAAGCCGCCATGAGGTATTTACTGTTCAGGGACGTAGGTTCCCTGGCACACATTATTTTCTGTGGACGAGAGCTCTAGTTAGATTCAGGGTCCATATTGCTTTGGTCTCACTGATAAAGAATGTTGATTATTACACTCCGAACTAGTTAAAACCTCGAGCTGCAGAAAAAGTTCTTCAGAATTGGTTTGGCAACCGCTGTGTCAACTCGTGACGCACCGCCTGTCTTGTCAATTCTCCGGCAGTAACTCCAAATAAACCGCCAGTGTTTGCCATCAAAGCTCCAGCTCTCCTCGTGTCTCTCTTACCTCATTCACACCAACGCAACTCCGGTTCAAGCTCCGTGCTAGAGCTTTTCAGGTTCAGAACCGGTTCTTCGGTTTAGCTCTGGCTCTTTTCACACCGCCCAGAGTCCGACTGGTGCTGCGTCATTGCGTCATCGTTTGCGTCATGACGTAACCGTTTGCGTGCCTGCTTCATAAAGCCAAACCGCGCGGAAACCCCTCACAGCTGACACCGACAACAACAACAATGGCCGATTGTGCTCCAGCTTCCTCTGTACCTCTTCGGAAGACCAGATTCCCAGTAGGTAGCTGGTCTCTTCAGTGGACCACTGCTGCTTGTTAAGTTTCTCCATCATTGTGTACAAACTGGATAAAACGCCGGCTGCCCCTGCCACCGCCTCGTAAGCGTGACGTATGCGGTGCTTATGCTCTAGCCCAGGGGTGGCCAACCAGTCAGAGGTTAAGAGCCACATTTTGTCTATGTTACTGCAAAGAGCCACATCAAACACACAGTCACTGATACCGCTTGTTTCAGTTTTTTGTTTTCTGGAGACAAGATTTCAACCACGTCACTGATGCATTTTTGTGGCATTGGGATATTTTTTTTTTAAATCCTCTGGAGCAGAGAGGAGCTGTGGATTATTGTTATTGATTAATGCATCAGTGTTTCTTAGGGTCAAAAACACTGAACTCACAACTTCAAATGAAAGCGTTTAGTTTATTTAATAAAAGAGCACATGTTCAATGTGAAAAGTGACAGTAGTTATAGATTATTTGCAATTTGGTGCGATATATATATATTTTTTAAAATTATATATTTTTTTTTAAACACCTTGAATTTCAGGGGGGGGCGCGGGGCTCCGTTGGCGGGGTGCAGCGCTCTTCCAAGACAATGGTAGGGGAAACACTGGATAGTAGTGTTTAATCAACGATAGGTTTTCCCCCCCTCAAAAAGTGATTGGTTCACTGCATCGCAGGTATTATTGTGATTGGCTGTTGGGCCACATCAAAATTAGACGCGCTGTCATCCTCTCATACTGACACCTG